TTTTTTTTTCTTTTAATATATTTTATTGATTTTTTACAGAGAGGAAGGGAGAGAGATAGAGAGTTAGAAACATCGATGAGAGAGAAACATCGATCAGCTGCCTCCTGCACATCTCCCACCGGGGATGTGCCCGCAACCCAGGTACATGCCCTTGACCGGAATCGAACCTGGGACCCTTCACTCCGCAGGCCGACGCTCTATCCACTGAGCCAAACCGGTTTCGGCATCTTTTTTTTTTTTTTTTTTAAATATCTTATATAATAAAAAGCTAATATGCAAATTGACCGAATGGTGGAATGACTGGTCGCTATGATGCGCACTGACCACCAGGGGGCAGATGCACTCCCACAGGGGGAGCACTGTTCAGCCAGAAGCCAGGCTCACGGCTGGCAGCAGCAGTGGCAGGAGCCTCTCCCACCTCTGTGGCAGCACTAAGGATGTCCAACTGAAGGCTTAGGCCCGTTCCCTGGACATCCCCTGAGGATTCCCAGACTGTGAGAGGGCGCAGGCCGGGCTGAGAGACTCTCACAAGTGCACAAATTTTGTGCACCGGGCCTCTAGTATTTTTATTGATTTAAGAGAGGAAGGAAGACAGAGAGAGAGATAGAAACATCCATGAGGAGAGAGAATCATGGATCGGCTGCCTCCTGCAAGTGCCCCACTGGGGATCGAGTCCACAACCCAGGCATGCGCCCTTTACTGGAATCGAACCTGGGACCTTTCAGTTCGCAGGCTGACGCTCTATCTGCTGAGCCAAACCGGCTAGGGCAATATATATATTCTTTTATTCATTCTTTTTTTAATTATCACACTAGGATATGGTTTTTTAAATTTTTTATTTTTTACATGCAATAAACATTAATATTTCAAGAAAAATGATCTTAAATATAATGTTACATGAAATAAACATTAATATCTCAAGAAAAACTATTTTAAATATAATAATGTTACATGCAATAAACACCAATTATTCAAGAAAAATGATCTTAAATACTAGTATAATATTACATGCAATAAACATTAATATTTCAAGAAAAAAAGGATTTTAAGTATAATATTACCAAAACTGTATTAAAATAGTATGATATCACAAAAGTTGTAGGAAATATTACAAATCTGCAAATAACAGGATTACTTCTATTATATTCTAAAAATTTTTTTTTCCTTTGGCTCTATTTTTGTTGATAGTTCATTATTGATGTACTAGGTGTACCGGTTAAAAATGGCAGATTTTGTAATCAAAATACGTAATTTCAAGAGAAACATCAGAAGTGCTTTATTCAAAGTAATGTTCGTTGCTAGCTACACATTTCCCCCATCTTTCAGGTAATTTGTGGATACTGTCCCAATAGAACTTTATTATTTTGAGGCAAACCATTCAGAGACCCAATTTTCCACTTCTTTGTACATTTTGAAGTGCTGCTCAGAAAGTGCGTGTGCCGTCGATCGGAATAAGTGGTAATCTGAAGGAGCAAGGTCTGGTGAATACGGCGGGTTGGTTAATACTTCCCAGGCAAGATCTTTTAACGTGTCTTTAACTGGTTTTGAAGTGTGTGATGGTGCGTCATCATGAAGCAAAATTACTTTGCCGTGTCTTCTGGCACATTCTGGTTGTTTCACATTCAAAGTGTGGTTCAGATTGATTATTTGTTGTCAGTAGTGATCAGTACTAACGGTTTCACCTGGTTTTAGAAGCTCATAATACACCACACCTTTCTGATCCCACCACACGCAGAGCATTGTCTTTTTTCGAAGCGATTTGGCCTTGCAGTCGATGTTGATGGTTGACCTGGATCAACCCATGATTCTGTGCATCTGGGATTCTCCAAATAAATCCACTTTTCATCACCAGTCACAATTCGATGCAAAAAAGAGTTTCTTTCGTGCCGTTGAAGCAACATTTTACTGATGATTTTTGGGTGTTCCATTTGTCTTTCGGTCAGATGATGTGCCACCCATTTTCCTTCCTTTAAAATCTTTCCCATTGCTTGTAAGTAATCAGAGATTGTTTGCTGAGCAACATTTAATTTTTCTGCAAGTTGTTTTAGAGTTTGACATGCATCTTCATCCAATAATGCTTGTAATTGTTGGTCTTCAAACTTTTTCAGTTAACCTGGACATTCTTTGTCTTTCACATCAAAATCATCACTTTTAAAGCGTTTAAACCAGCGTTCACAAGTATCTTGAGATGGAGCATGTTCACCATAAGCTTCCCGAAGTATTCGATAACTTTTTCTTCAAAATAAAGTAATGAATTAAAACTTCCCACAAATGCTCTTTTTTAGCATGAAATTCGACATTTTTAAGTGTAAAAATATCTATGATGTTAACACCTTCAGCAAATTTGACATATGAAGTTTTGAAGCTTGCTGTCAATACAACAAAATAGCATACATGTCAAATCACATATATATATCAACATATGTGTAACTTCATCTATTGAAAAAAATCCGCATTATTAACTGGTACACCTAGTATAAAACCAACTGATTTCTGGATATTTATTTTGTATCCTGCTACATTGCTAAATTTATCTATCAGTTCTAGTAGTTTTTTGTGCAACCTTTAGGGTTCTCTATCAGTATCATGTCATCTGCAAATGACAGTTTTACTTCTTCCTTTACATGTTGGATGCTTTATTTCTCTACACCCCCCCCCCCACCAAAAAAAAAATGTTTTTATTGATTTTAGAGGGAGAGGGAGAAACATTGATTGGCTGCCTCTTGCATGACCCTTACTGGGAATTAAGCTCACAACCTGGGCATGTGCCCTGATCGGTGTATGGAACGATGCTTAACCAACTAAGCCACACCCACCAGGGCTATTTTTTCTTCTTGTCTGATTGCTGTGGTTTGGACTTCCAGTATTATGGTGAAATAAGAGTGCTGAAACCATACTCCCCTATCTTGTTTGTGAACTTAATGGAAACACTTTTAGCTTTTGCCTGTTGAGTATGATGTAGGTGGTCATATATGGCCTTTATTATGTTGAAGTATGATCCCTCTATTTCCACTTGGTTGAGAATTTTTATCATAAATAGGCGCTGGGTTTTATCAAATGCTTTTTCTGCATCTATTGATATGAATTTTATCCTTCATTTTATTTATGTGGTATATTATGCTTATTGATTTGCAGATATTGAACCAACCTTGCATTCCTGGAATAAATCCCACTTGATTGTGGTGTATAATCTTGTTAATGTGTTGCTGGATCTGATTTGCTAATATTTTGTTGAAGATTTTGGCATCCATGTTCATCAGGGATATTGGCTTATTCTTTTCTTTCTTTGTGGTTTTGGAATTAGGATAAGGCTGATCTTGTATAATGAGCTTGGGAGTCTTCCCTTCTCTTGAAGGAGACATTTCTTGTTTCCTGACTCACTTGTGAAGCTATTCAGTCCAGGACTTTTTTTTGTTGGGAAGTTTTTTGTTTGTTTGCTTGTTTTAATCCTCACCCAAGGACATGCTTCTACAGATGTTAGAGAGAGAGGAAGGGAAAGGGAGAGAGAGAAACATTTAATGGGTTGCCTCATGCACGCACCCTGACCGGGGATAGAGACCATGACCTTCTATGCACGAGCCACACCGGCTAGGGCAGGAGTCTTTTTATTACTGCTTCAATCTCAGTCATTGTCATCTGTTTACATTTTTCCATTCTTCTTGACTTAGTTTTGGAAGGTTGCATGTTTCATCCAGATTGTCCAATTTGTTGGCATATAGTTGTTTGTAATATTTTTTTACAATCCTTTGTATTTCCTCGGTGTCAGTTGTTACTTTGCCTCTTTTATTTCTGATTTTATTTATTTGGGCCCTCTTTTTTTTTTCCTTGATGAGCTTGGTTAAAGGCTTGCCAATCTTGTTTATCTGTTCAAAGAACCAGCTCTTGGTTTCATTGATTTTTTAAAATTTTTTTTTTTAGTATTGTTTTTAGACTTATTTCTGCTCTGATTTTGTTATTTCCTTTCTTATTTTCACTTTGGGCTTTGTTTTTTATTTTTCTAGTTCCTTTAAGTGCAAAGTTAGATTAATTGAGACTTTTCTTGTTTCTTGAGGATCAGTGTATGATACTATGAATTTTCCTCCTGGGACTGCTTTTGCTGTGTCCCATAGATTTTAGGTTGTTTGTTTCAAGGTATCTTTTGATTTCTTCCATGATCTCATTGTTGACCCATTCATTGTTTACTAACATGTTATTTAACCTCCATGTCTTTGTATGTTTTTCAGTCTTCTTCTTGCAATTGATTTCTAGTGTCCTAGCATTATGGTCTAGAGAAGGTGCTTGCTATGATTTCAGTTTTCTTAAATTTATTGAGACTTGTTTTGTATCTTAACTTGTTTTGTGCTCTATCCTAACATGTCCTCTTTTAAAGAATGTATATTCTCTTGCTTTGGGGTGAAATGCTCTGAAGATAACAAGTAAGTCCATCTGCTCTAGTGTGTCATTTAAGGCTGCCATCTCCTGGTTGATTTGCTGCCTGGAAGTTCTATCCATAGATGTTAAGGGGTGTTAAACTCTCCTACTGTGACTGTATTCGTGTCAGTCTCCCCCTTTGTGTCCATCAAGATTTGCTTTACATATTTAGGTGTTCCTCTGTTGGATGCATACATGTTTACAAGGGTATCCTCTTGTTGGATTGCTCCCCTTATCATTATGCAATTAATATCTTTCTTGTCTCTTATTATCACCCTTGTTTTAAAATGTTTTTTATCTAAGTATTGCTACCCCAGCTTTTTTTCTGTTTTCCATATGCCTGAATTATCTTTTTCCATCTCTTTACTATTAGTCTGTGTGTACCTTTTGGTATGAGGTGCGTCTCTTGTAGCCTTCATATGGTTCTTGTTTTATTACCCATTCAGCTATAAAGGTAAGCATTTTTTTAAAGTGATACAGGGAGAAGGTGACAGATGTATGAATGTATGTATGTTTTTACTAGGGAAATGAATCCATTGAAAGTGACAAAATAATTTTTCTGTCTTTTAACTCTTCCATATTTTTTCTTAAAAGTACATTTTTTTAAATGCCTTGTAGATTTACCAGACCAGAGCACTTAGGAAGCAGTGCCAAGATCAAATGTAGCGGTTGCCATAGCTATCAGGAGTCCACTAAACAGCTCACCATGAAGAAACTGCCAATTGTCGCCTGTTTTCATCTCAAAGTAAGTTTTCCGGAAAACTTTCGTAGCAGACTGGATGCTTAGTCCCTAGGGCAGCGTGGAGCCTGTGGTCTGGGCACCGAGCACATGTGGTCATCGCCTGGCTCCACAGGAGGGCTGCCGGCGAGCGAGGTGCCAGGCTGTCCCCTCTCCCTGTTCTCTGGCAGGAGAGGCCCGGTGAACAGGACGTGGCTCCTGCGCCATGGGAAGAGGGCGGGAGTGCGCTGCGGGGGCTGGGTTGTGAAGGTTCCACTACTCCTGCCTGAGTTCTTCCATCCTCGCCCCAAGTTTTCTATTTTTCTTTTACTTTAAAAGCAGCAAAGTCCCTTAGCATTGTGATCTAGTCCAGGGGCCAGCAAGTGCTTTCTGTAAAGGGTCAGCTAGGAAGCTTTTAGGGCTTGCAGCCATGTGATCTCTGTTTCATAGTCTTTGTTTTATTTTATGACCCTTTAAAAATGTTAAGAAGCAAAACAAAAAACGATTCCTAGCTTCCTTGCTGGGTTTGGTGGCTCCTGATGTTGTCAAAGGGATGCCTGGTGCCGTGTGAAAGGGACGTGTGCTTGTCTTGCTTCCAAAGGCTTCTTCCCTTGCACGCTGTTGGGTTTATTGTAAGGTTACTTTTTTATCACTTTGGGTTTATCACTTGGAACTTCATTTCAAGACTTGCCTGGAACCCCATAATTTAAATTTATGTAGACGTTTTATTGAGCCTCCCAGAGGCAATGAGAGCAAAAAGCACCTGTGGGGTGTGCTCAGAGTAACTCACTCCTCTCCCCTCTCCCCCACTTTCTTAGCGATTTGAACACTCAGCCAAACTGCGGCGGAAGATTACCACATACGTGTCCTTTCCCCTGGAGCTGGACATGACCCCGTTCATGGCGTCCAGGTATGGGGGTTCTGCAGTGCCTTGTCGTCGGGAGGCTGTGGCTTTGTCGGGTCAGCGATTGGCACTGGGTCTGTGCTGAGACCATTGTAGGTGTTGGCACAACCATAACTGCTAAAGCCAAGTTACTATCCTGATCTTACCCAAGACACATTTTAGTTTATTTGTAAATTTTTATTTCTTGATTGTAGAGTGAGGAAGGGAGAGATAGAAACATCGATTTGCTGTTCCACTTATTTATGTATGTGCGCTGACCGGGGACCAAACCCACAGCCTTGGTGTATCATAGCGGACAATGCTCTGACCAAGCTCCTGCCCCGCCAGGGCCCCAAGGCACCTTGTGTTTAATGAGTTATTTTTTCTAAGATGCCCTTTTGCTTTGGGTTTTCCCCAGCCATTCCTGGGCAAGGTGGCATCACAGCAAGAAGGCAGCATTTTAGCTGATGGAATTGGTTTTGGATACAGATAAACATAGTTGAGTTTGCAGCTGTAGATTCCATTTTTCTTGTTTTCAAATCAATATTATAGAGCACTTGAGATTTATCCTCCAAAAAGAGTGTGACACTAATAGATTGGCCACATGCTGGTTTCCTGGAGCCACGGTAACAAACGGCTCCAGGCTTGGTGGCTGAAAGCAAGTTGGCAGGGCCCGATGATTTCACCCCTTGGCAGGAGGTGTGCTGACCAGGGAGACCTGGCCACCCGCCTCAGAGCAGGTGTGCTCTGCATTCGCGTCACCGGCCGGTCCCGGTGGAAGAACTAGAAAGTGTGTATAAAATGGGTCCCGCACAGCGTCTGGCGTGGGGGCCCAGGAAGGTGGCTGTTACTATCTAAGCCATGCGTCTCTTCAGTTCAGTGATTTTCAACCGCTGTGCCATAAGAGTTTTCAGAACACGCAGTGCCTGGCCATTTAGTCAGGGCACTGACCTCTTCTCCCCTAGGTTGTCAAATTAAGAAATGACAACAGCCAACGCAACAATAGCAGTGCAGTGCAAATGAATCAAAATTACAGCTTTTTTTTGGGGGGGGGGGTCAAATCGGCAAAATATATATATTTTTGGTGTGCTGCAGGATTTTAAGTAATTAGTTTATGTGCCATGAGATGGAAAAGGTTGAAAATCTCTGCTTCGGTTAATTAGTTTGTTGATGTTGAGTTTTGCTTTGTTTGTTGCAGCAAAGAGAGCAGGATGAATGGACAGTACCAGCAGCCGTCGGACAGTCTCAGTAACGACAACAAGTGAGCGGCGCCTGCGGGGGGCGGGGGGGGGGTGCCTTGGCATCTTGGGTGGGAGCGGCGACCGCAGCATTTACCCAGAGACGGCTGCAGCGACGCGTGGCCACGGCGAGCTTGTTTCTTCAGGCCTCTGGCCGCCTCCTGTTGTGCTACCCATCCATCTTTTAGGAAAGGACTTGTCACAACCTTGATCGTAGACACTCGCGCCTGCTGCGGGAGCCTGACCCTCCCTCCTGGCGCCGGGGCGAGAGGGTCAGCCTGGCCTCGCAGGCCCCGAGGGGAAGCTCAGCCTCTGCGCCCTGGGCCCCTTGGCTCTTCCTTCGACGGCATTGCCATGAGGCTCTGCTCTTCTCTGCCTGCCTGGTCACCTTGGCCGTGGCAGAAAGGATGGAGGGAGAGAGTGGTCACCGTGTCTCCCGGTCCCTTCCTCTCACCACTTCCACCACCCCTGGCTCCACTGAGGCAGCTGCAGAGCTGAGGGAGGCCACACGGGCCCCTTTCCCTCTGCATCCCATGCACCCGCTCTGGTTCTCAGGGCACAACGGGGGGTCGGGGAGCTCCCCTCACTGTGCAGGCTCCTGGTGATGGTGACACTGAGGTCACGGCTGCTCCTTCCCTTCCAAACCAGGTACTCCTTGTTCGCAGTCGTTAACCACCAGGGGACCCTGGAGAGCGGCCACTACACTAGCTTCATCCGGCAGCACAAGGACCAGTGGTTCAAGTGTGACGACGCCATCATCACCAAGGCCAGCATCGAGGACGTGCTGGACAGCGAGGGGTACGTTGGGCGCAGCCGGCGTCCGCGTGGGCGTCCACACCCAAAGCCACGCCTGGTTTTAGTGCCACAAAGGACGTGCACCTCTGGTGGCTGAAGCAAGGAGGCTTGTTGCAGACAGGCCCCAGCCTCTGGTCCTGTGCAGCGCCCTCAGGGGACGCCCTGACAGCGGCACGAGGGGTCTCCTGGTCGGCCAGAGCGGGCAGGGGGTCTCCGCAGCTCCTTGCTCCTGGCCCAATTCATTCCTTCCCGGCACATCCTCATCCCCTTGAGCTTCACTCAGACCTTGGCCTTGAGCCCTCATTAGGGTCCTGGCCCCACTGAGCTGCTGAGCCGCGAGGGCGCTGTGGTTCCAGGCTGTGGGCAGCCCCCTGGGGAGTGCATGGGACAGCCCCGTGCAGTGGTCCTGCCTTCGCAGCAGGAGTCTTACCAGCAGTGCCACTGACCCGGGGCCTGAGTCCCGGACAGTGGGGCCCGGTTCAGGAGCTGTTTCCTGGCGAATGGGCGGGAGGGTGGGCTTAGGGGGCTTGGGCACTGCCACTTCCTAGCTAAGGACCCTCCTCGGGGACTAAGAACCAAAACCCATCCAAACAAGAACTCAGTCTGCTGGTGACTGCGGTGCCAGGGCCGGGTGGGAGGGCGGGTCATGCCGGCCTCGTGCAGGGACCTGAGGGACCATCAGCATGCCCTGTCTTTGCCTCTGCAGGTACCTGCTGTTCTACCACAAGCAGTTCCTGGAGTACGAATAGCCTCCCCTCTGCTCGTCAGAGCACAGGCCATGAAGTGGCGCCTCACAAAATGACCCCACCCAGCACCACGGCACCCCCATCCCCACAGCTGCAGCCCGGGCCAGGGCGTGGGTGTGGATGGACAGCGCATGGGGGGGACCTGGGAGCTGCACAGCAGGACAGCACGACAGGAAGGCGCGCCTGCCTGGGAGGGCGGAGGGGGTGTCACCGCTGTGTCTCCTGCTCCTCCAACAGGGTGTGGGGCCCCCCACGCAGGGAGCAGCCTCGCCTCTGCTCAGTGCTGCTGTGTGTGCCACCTCAGGAGGCGCCCGCCCACTGGACAGTCATTCCAGGAGCATGACCTCGGGGCATGGAGAAGCCCGCGGGGAGGACTAGGACGGAGGGCCTGGGGGGTCTGAGTTTCCTGTTAAATGTGTGCAGGGGGGGACTCGGCTTCTGCCCGCAGAGAGCAGCCCCAACTGCCTGGGGCGCCAGGCCGGCCCCTCCGTGCTCCCGGCCAGCCCCTCCCCGCCTCCCCCCAGCTCTTCCCTCGGACGGACTTCATAACTGTGTGTTCGTGACTGGATGAATCGAGCTTATGCTGAAATCTAGAGTTTCATTCTCAAGAGAGTCTTGCTCTTGTGCTGTGTTGTTGCCCCCACACCCACCCCCCCAAGCCTGGGTGTCCTGGTGGCTCCTGGCAGGTGTGAGTCAGGCTACAGTAGTAACAGTCTCATCGTGTTCCTCTTGAGTCAGTGACACATTTTTCGATGGTTTCATTGTTTTCCTCGTGTTTTCTCCTTGGCTGCCTGTCCCACCAGCTGTCACAGCTCGGGGGCCCTGTTGGGTGAGGGGAGTGCTCACCTTGCTGAGGGCCTGCTTCCCGGGGTCAGGCTGGGTGGGAAGGGCGGCTGCCTGCCTTGCGGGCAGAGCGGCGCGCGGCCTGTCCTGTGCTGCATGCATCTGTCTGTCCAGACCCCACCTCAGAGCGTTTGGTCCCTTTCTGAGACCTTGCAGCCCCGAGTCGCGGGGGTGGGGGGGTGGGGGGGGCGCGGGGGGCGCAGGGCGAGTTGCTTGGATTTGTTGGCGGAGCAGCCTGTGGGCGTGCCGAGCTGCACTGTCCCTCCAGCTGCAGACTCTCCTGGAGACCAGGGGTAAGTGTGTGGCTCTGTGGCCACAGGTAACAGGTGAGCAGATGAGCCTGCTGTGTTCCCACAGAGCTGTATTGATGGGCACTGGAACGTGAATCCATATAATTCACATCATGAAGTTTTTTTCACTGTTTAAAAATGTGTCAACTACTCTCAGCTGACAGGCCACACAGAAGCAGGCAGGGGGCCCGACTAGCTCGTTAGCTGGGTGAGTGGGCAGGGCGGGTGCTCCAGGAGTTGAGCAGTTATCCTCACTGTGGAAAATGCTGGAACATGCAAAGCAGCTGCCCTGCAGAGCCGTCCTACGTGGCGAAATCCCGAGAGATAGGTGTTCTCTTTCCATTATTTTCCACCTCTACCCACGCCTGTCCCCTGGCAGCCCCCACACTGTTGTTTGTGTCCATGAGTTTTGTTCTCTCCCTTTTCCTCACTCCCCCCCTTCCAGTGCCCTGCCCTCCATCGCTGTCAGCCTGCTTTCTGTCCATGAGTCTGTCTCTGTGCTTGTTTGTTCATTAGAATTCACAGAGTGAGATGATGTGGTACTGGTCCCTCTCTGACTGGCTTATTTCACTTAGCATGATACTCTCCAGGTCCCTCCATGCTGTCTCAAAGGGTAAAATTTTCTTCCTTTTAATGATCAAGTAGTATTCCTTTGTGTGAATGTTCCGCCGCTGTTTACCCACCTCTACTGAGGGCACTTGGGCTGCTTCCACATCTTGGCTGTTGTAAAAAATGCAATGACTACAGGGGCCTCATGATGGTTTTTGAAGCACTTGCTCAGCTCACTCTCAGTTATGTTTCTGCGTTTATGGGACGCCGGCTGTAAAGCATGCTTTAAAATAGCAAGTGTTTTCAGGCAAGTAGGGGGGGCAGACCTTCAGGAATGGCTGCCTGTGTCGAAGGTGTGTTCCTGCCGGGAAGGCTGCTGGGGGAGGGGCGTCCTCAATGATGAGCGCAGCTGGGCGGCGAGCGGACTGCGCTGGGCGGGGTGCTGAGGCCTGAGGTCTCCCTGCGACTGCTGCTGGGGTCTCCTCGCTGGCTGGAGGCTATCAAGCAGGGTGGGGAGTTTCTGGAAGATTATGTGATCTGGCCGGCCTGCTCCCCAACCTGTGCTCCCCTACCCTCCCGCTGTCACTGGTGCTCAGAGGCTCAGCCACCCTGAGGACACGGGACAGGGAGAGCAGTGGGCCCACGCGTGTCTTTTGTGGACATTATTTGAAGCGTGTGTCTCCAAGTTAGTTCTCTCTCTCCTTCGCCTTGGGGCTCTGAGCACTTACCCGGCCCTGCCCGCAAGGGCTCCCCTCCTCCTGCCTCCCAGGGATCTGTGGTAGCGATGAAATGTTACATGAAATGTCCTTGTAAAAGAAGCTCCCAGTCCAGCTATTAAATTCAGGAAAATGGTTTTTGTTTCCTAACAACCACCACTACGTAGGTTCCTGTCGTCACCAAGTGTGTCTGACCACCATGGAGTCAGGTGGCCCCTCCACTCCCATCAGCGCATTTAACAACCTGAACTGAGACGCGGCTGTCCCTGCGCGCTTCTCAGGGGCACGGCGGGCTTTCCCTCTTCAGGGTGCGGAGAGGCTCCCAGCAGTGGGGGTGCTGGGCCCGCGGGTCAGGCCGGCCAGGGGCAGCCTTCGGCCCACGCGGCCCCTCCTGCAGGGGCCTAGCCGGCCCAGGAGCTTTTGTGGTTTGGCTTAGTGTGTGCGCTTTCACCGTGTAAAATTGCCGGCTGGGGTTTTGTGCGTGTGTTTGTGTTTGCTTGTTTTTTAATAATTGAAGTGATTGGGGCCTGTTATAACCAAAACACACATTGTAAGAAAAAGATCCCAGTGATCATGCCGTGGGTTTGTGCCAAGATGTCTGCGCCTCTTCCACCTGCTGTGTGAGGAATACGTGGCCCTTCCCTCCCTTCATGCTTGTAGTCATTCTATGTCATAATAAAGCAACATTTTATTCCGAACATTGGCTGGCTCTCCCCTTCCTCACACCAGCAGCCAAGGAGGGGCTGGGATGAGAGTCCCAGGGTGCGGGCCGCCTGGGAGCCTCCGTGCTCGGGTGTGGGCGCCCGCGCAGCCTGCGCCACCTCATTCTCTGTCTGGCCTGTCCTCCTCGCGGGGGCAGGATGGTGATGTGCCCGGAAGCCAGACTTGGCCTTCGCTGTGCATGAGGCACCTGAGGGCTCCTTTGACGCCGTGCGGAGTCCGATGCCGAGCCCTGACTGTGGTGTGGGAAAGCTCTCGGGTGGTGGGAAGAGCAGGTGTAAGTCATTGGAGAGAAGACTTGGCGGCTCCCGCTGTCAGCTCTGTGATGGCCACAGGCAGCTGGCACCTGGCCCCTCCCCGGCACCTGCTCCCGGTTCAGCACCTCAGCTGCTGTGCACCTGTCGGGCCCGAGCCTGCCTTTCTGGGGTGCTCTTTCCTGGGTGCCTTCGCTGCAAGTTCCTCTACTTCCCTCCCTGGGCATCCTGCCGAGCCCTCCCGTCCCCATGGGGCAGCCACACAGAGCAGGTGTCTCCCGGGAGCTCCCCTCTCGGGCTCCCCCTTGAGGCAGCAGAGCCCCCCTCCAGGCAGGAGGAAGAAGAGCGTGTGGTGAGGTTCCTCAGCATAAAGCTGAGCAGTCCCAGCCCCACTCTGGCCCGAGCCTGGGACCCGTCTGTGTTTTGGCCGTGGGGAGCCGGCATCATGGAATGGCTTCTGGTTAAAAGCACACACATCGGCCCAGAAGAGAAGACAGAGCCTCAGCCATACCCTTCACCTGACGGGCTTGTGAGCGCAGCTGCCTCCCGCATTTCCTGGTGGAATGTCGCAGCAACGGGCAGAGGTGCGGACAGGCAGGGCAGGCGAATTCACCTGTGGAATATTTCAGGGAAGAGAGTCTGCCACCTCCAGATGGAAGGGGCCCGTGTGGTCCACCTGCTACCAGGCAGCCAGCTGGCCCGCTCAGACGTGCTATCCGGGAGTCAGTGCCGCCAGGCAGCGCTCAGCAATCAGCCTGGTGAACCTGGGTCAGGGCAGGTCTGTGGCATTGACCTTATTCTAGCTTCCTCCTCCGTCTTTTTTTTTTTTTTAATATATTTTATTGATTTTTTACAGAGAGAGAGGAAGGGAGAAGGATAGAATCATCGATGAGAGGAACACTTCGATCGATGGCTGGCCCCCTTCTGGGGATCATGCCTACAACCCGGCAACCCGGGCACGTGCCTGACTGGGAATTGAACCTCTGGACCTTTCAGTCCGCAGGCCGACGCTCTATCCACTGAGCCAAACCGGTTTCGGCCGCCTCCTCCGTCTCTAAAAAAATACATTTTTATTGATTTTTGAGAGAGAGGAAGGGAGAAGGATAGAATCATCGATGAGAGGAACACTTAGATCGATGGCTGGCCCCCTTCTGGGGATCATGCCTACAACCCGGCAACCCGGGCACGTGCCTGACTGGGAATTGAACCTCTTGGTTCATGGGTCAATGCTCAACCACCAAGCCACCTCTGTCTTGATGGCCACTTCTTCATGAGTCTGCCAAGCAGCACGGGGGCCGGGAAGGACACGACCTGCGCCCTGAGGCGTGCCTCTGTGCCCCTGGTTGTGAAGGGCGCCGCGGGATGAGTTCTGGGCTCTGGGATGCAGGTGCCTGCACTGGCTGCCCGTTTTGAGAGCTCTGTCCCCATCCAGATCTGGTCACTGACCTTTAAACCCTCTTCTAAGTCCTTGACAGCCCATCCAGGCTGTTGGCGACTTCCCATAAGCCCGTGTAGATCAGCACTGTGGCCTCTCTCCAAAGCGGGTAGCCCATTTCCTGCTCCCAAGCTCCACTGCCAGGGTTTCTTCCATCGCGTCCGGCAGGGTCTCCTCAGTTCCCTGGTCACGGGGGCCATGCACAGGTCTCTGGTGATGAAGCCTGAGCCACCTGCTCAGGTCACAGCACTTCTGGACATGCCTTTCCCACTCTGGCCGCTGTACCCACCCCCCTCGAGGCCAAGCAAGGCAAACGGCACTCGGTTAGCGATGGGATGCTCAGGCTTCCTGGTCAACTGTTGTCCTATGAATGGGGTGTCGTCTCCACTAAGTCCAAGAACAGCAAACAAGGTGTTTCTGAAAAGAGTAACTATCTGCAGACGAGGGTGCAGATTTGGTTTGCTCTGCCCGGAATCCTGGAGGTCTGTGCTGTTTTTCCCATTGTATTGCCCGAGGCTCCGCGGGGCCTCCTCTTGCCTCAGCCTTTGAGCACCAGTAGTCTCTCTGGACCATGAGGTCTGAGTGGTGGTGCAGCCTGAACTTACTGCTCGGGTCCCACCAAGAACCAAGCCGTGTGGTGCCTCTGTTGGTGGATCAAGTTGGCACTTGGTGGGGTGTGCTGCCTCCAATCCAGCAAGGCCTGCCAAGCGTTGGGCCTCTATGTTGTAGGTGTTGCAAGGTGCAGCAACTCCCACCTTGAAGGGCATATCTTTTAAAGAAAAATGTTGTTAGTGATTTTTAGAGAGAGAGGAAGGGAGAGGGATAGAGAGAAACATCGATGAGAGGAAGGAGCGTCATCAATTGGCTGCTCCTGCAACCGGGCATGTGCCCTCTGAGGATTGAACCTGCGGCGTCTTGGTTCCTGCGCCTGTGCTCAGTGCTGAGCCACACCAGCCTAAGAGGATATCTTGATACACTTCAAACCACTGGAACATCATTGAGTGGGGAGCCCAGAGTTTGGGGAGTTTATTTCTCATGCTTTGGTTCACTTGTCTTGTTAAAGCATTTATAGAATTTGCTACTTATAGAATTAAATTTTGCTACTTATAAATGTTAAAGCATTTATAGAATTTGCTACTCATCAGTTCCAATCAGCAAAAAGTCATCAATATTGTGAACCTGAGTAATCTATAATAATAGAAAAGACAAACATGCAAATTGACCGTACCTTTGCTACGCCTTAAGCCACGCCCACCAGCCAGTCAGAGCGACTATATGCAAATTAACCCAACCGAGATAGCGGCCAGCAGCCACGGAGCTGGAGCAAGCAGGAGGCTTGGTTGCCCCAGTGATGGAGGAAGCCAAGCTTCCCGCCTGCTGCGGCCGGCTCTGAGGTCCACTCAAGGCAACAAAGTTTCGATTATAGAAGATAAATAAACCCCAGATACCTGCTTTCAGCCGGCCGTGACCACGGAGCTGGTGGTCAGTGTGATCCCACAGGGGGAGCTCTGCTCAGCCACAAGCCAGGCTGATGGCTGCCAGCACAGCTGTGGTGGCGGGAGCCTCTCCTGCCTCCTCAGCAGCACTAAGGATGTCCGACTGCAGCTTAGGCCTGCTTCCTGCTGGTAAGTGGACATCCCCCAAGGGCTGCCGGGCTGCCAGAGGGATGTCTGACTGCCAGCTTGGGCCCGATCCCCCAGGGAGCGGGCCTAAGCCAGCAGGTGGACATCCTCTGAGGGGTCCCAGACTGCAAGAACGCATAGGCTGGGCTGAGGGACCGCCCCCCTGAGTGCACAAATTTTTGTGCACTGGGCCTCTAGTCTATAATAATAAAAGCATAATATGCTAATTAGACTGGACAGCCGAACAACCTTCCTGACGAAGCTGCGGGGGCCGAGGCAGAGGTGGATAGGGGCAATCAGGCAGGCAGGCAAGTGCTTAGGGGCAATCAGGCAGGCAGGTGAGTGGTTAGGGGTGATCAGGCAGGGAGGTGAGTGGTTAGGGGCGATCAGGCAGGTAGGCAGGCCAGCGGTTTGGAGCCAGTGGTCCCATATGCAAGAGGGATGTCTGCCTGCTGGTTTCGGGCCTAAATGGGCAGTCTGATATCCCCCGAGGGGTCCTCCCCCCCGCCCCCCCAATGCATGCCTCTAGTATTTTATGAAATAGCAAGATGGTTAATATTTCTCTAGATTGTATGATAGCAGCAAGCAGCATTAATACAGCCCTGAGGCTAAAGGCTGTACCATGAAGGCACAATGTTGGCCCTCCCTGGGGAAGGCGAGCTGCCTTGCGGTCCTTACAGGCGGGTGAGAGAGCAGGGCAGCAGCCAGGTCAGCGGGTGCATCCTCAGCGCCACGGCCTGGTGATTGGCTCCAGGAGAGACCCAGTGTCTGTGCGGGCACCCGAGTGGGTTCATAGTGCAGGCATCGCTTTACTTCGCTGGGCTTCACAGATGTTGCTGTTTCTTCCTTTTCTTTCCTTTTTTTTTACAAATTGAAGGCCAGCAAATAAAAGGATTACAGTAGGTCCTCGGAGATCTGTTCCTACTGCACAACGTACCGCAATTTTCTCCATAAGTCGGAACCCACCTACATAAGCACCTACGTCACTCACATGGAGCACAGACACAGCAGTAATGAAGGAAAACAGTAGGACATATTTAAAAGAAAGATAATTCCTGACCTTTACTTGTGTTAAATAAATAATAAAAAACATAAAGCACATATGTACATACGTTGAAATGACGGAACTTTTTTTTTTAATAAATAAATTGGAAATGGTGACGTAACTACGAATGACATGCGTAGAGTCTGACATAACCCGAGGACTGTCCGTACAGCTGACTTTATTGCGATAATTGCTTTTTGGCAGTGATCGGGAATGAACCCGCAGTCTCCTAGGCGTGTCAGAGTCTATAGTCATTTTCTAAGACCCAGCAGACTTCTGCATGGACAAACAGGTGGGTTACCTGGGAGTGTGAGAGGTGTCACTGCTGCTTTGAAGTCCTTGGTGGAGCGTTAATCTTTGAGATCTGCGCCCTCGGGAGTATAGGACTGCTGCTGGTTTATTATCTTTGTCGGGAGGTATGGTCAGACACTTCCACATATTCTTCCAACCTTAGCCTCCCCGGTGGGTCAGAGAGGGTGTGGGGACCCTGCCAGTTGTCGAGCATGCCCATGCACACTCAACGGGAGAAAGAGCCACAGGATGGATCCAGTACTTGTCAGTTTTTAAAACCAAGTTGCACATATAATGTCCACTGTCTCCCGGCGGCGTGGGAGAGTGCAGT